ATGAGCAACTAATAGAACCATGAATACTTAACTTACCACGACCTTTGTCCCAGCGAATTCCTACTTGACGTCTTTTTATACGGGTTGCAAGGTTTACGATTCTATTCTCGGGGGCGGTCGTTTCCCTGAGATATTAGCCAGTCTGAGGATATGTACCATGAGATTATTACATAACTTTCGACTTGGGCAGCGATAAAAGTCACCTGAGAGGTGGAATTAATGTCACATTATTAGGCCTTACTACTTTAATATTTCTTATGATAGAGGTGGACAGACAGACGATGGTGATAATGAACGCGATGTTCACTTGACGAAACACCACAGTCATATAACATCTAAACAAGATTTGTTGTCTCCCTATTTCCGTTTTGGATATTCGGAAACTCGCAGACGGAAACTGATACGCGATTAAACTACATGGATTATTCGTCTGTTGGATGTCCGCAAGGAATTTTAGATATTCCTAAAAGGTACGCTTTATTTAAAGTAATTTCAGCAAGAGGCAGATACATTTTTTATTTATTTTCTACTCTAAATGATTTTTATTACACACAAGGCGATGAACCGAGAGGCTAGTAAAATTTTGGGCCTAAACAAAACAATGCGTCGTGTTTTGCAAGAATTAGTATCTAAGACTTCTTGCTTTGAAACTGACTTAGCGATAAACTTATTTAGGAACGTTATATCTAATTTTTTTTAGGTGACATTAGGCAACATTTTCCTAAAAATTGATAAGGCAGGTCCAACACAGAAAGGATAAACGATTAGCGTCACGCAATACAATATGACGTGACAGTGTCACGACATCACTCGGCAACAATGGGTTATGGGTAGCTGCGTGCGATGAGCGCATGAATCATTTATTAGAGGCGAAACCCTAGGTGCATATTAGAAACAGTAGGGATCGTACCACTATGATAGATGTTCAAAATAATCGGCTTACGTTTAATAAAACGTGATCATAACAGCAGAAAATAATGATAAGAATAAATTAGTTTATTATTCATCATAGAATAGTAGTTAACGCACTTTAACGGTTTAAAACGCGCAAAATTTTACTAGCCTCTCGGATCCTTTTCAATAGTCGTAGTCATTGTCGGCATGATCGCTGTTTCATACCATTTAATTGTGTTATCAAAACACGAAAATTAAGGCCCTTTTAAAATTGCTGATGGCGTAATTAAATGTTTCGATTCTCTTCGTTTCCACGTTACGCCTACTGTTCTTATCATTCTGTGCGAAAATTCAACGATAAATCGTCACGTAAAAAAAAGCCCGCGGGACGCCTTCTTTGCAAACATTACACATTACTTTCTGTTATACCCTCGGGTGTGGAAATATTGAAAGAGCGCACGAGTTATAGCTACACAAGATATTATGTCGAATATTTCGCGGCGAATAATAAAATATTACTTCTGACCTACCGGTTTACGTCTATTCATAAAGTGAGGTGTAGGATTAGGTTTGGAGCTTAGGGAAATAGAAAAAGTGAAGGTTATAATCTGTGCCAAACGTTCTAAGGCCTTTTTACATAGACTGTCATATTTTCCATCGTATTATGAAGAAATATAATTTCCTGTAAATGTAACATAATTGTTAAAATATTAGGTTTTATCCTAACCCAAGTGGTATTGGTATTGATATTGACCCAATAACGATCAAAAATGATTATAATAGGGAAATACAGTTTTATGTATACTTTATTATTTTTTACATGTTATTGCACATGAAGGCACTATATAATTTAAAAATCGATAACAAATTTTAAAATTTTCGACTCGGGCAGGACTTGAACCGGCAACGTCAGCGTTCCGTGCTGTTGCTCTACCAATTGACCTACCGGGTCAGCTACATTGGTAGAGCAACAGCACGGAAATATTCAGCTAAGAGGCTAAAGTAATTAGACTAAAAGTCGCAAACACAGCTAGTTTAAGTTATAAAACTTTAAAATATGGGACAAGATGTTTCGTGATAAGCACTGGCCACTAACCGAGAGTTAAAGATACCAGTATCTCACAACTTCAGCAGAATTAAAAGCATTCGTTATGCAAATCTCATCAAACACAGCGAAGTGGGGACCGGCTTCGTGTCGCGAAGTGAAGCCTACAGCCTCCTGAAGAGCCTTCTCGTGGCTTCGCGAGACCGCGTATCAAATAACTTAGCCTTTGTTATGGTAATGTCTTCCCGAAATTACACCCGCCGCATATAATCTCGAAAGATATAAAAACTTTCTTCGACGCGACGTAAATCTCTTTATATTCGGTTACACCTATACAGGTGTGTGACGCATATGAACGGTTTTGTAGCGTTACTCATTACGCCCTATATATGAAATCTACCTAGTACTTATGAACAGTTATAACTATTTGTACCTTATATATACGTAAAATAGTTTTGTCATGGGTTCGAATCCCAGGGAAACTTAAGATTGTTCTGGTCGAGCAATATAAGTCTGAGTCTCATCAACTACTTGCCTCTAATAAATCTGATCAGTGAATCGGAAATAGAGATGTGCTTGCCCCATGCCCCACAGGGGGAAACGGGATGTCATAAACCTAGTGTTAGGCTTTTTGGTCTCTTAAGCCCGTTTGGCGACAATCTGTATTAAAAAATAAGTCAGTAAACGAAATCCAAATTTTTTTTAGTTACTATCAATGAATAATCCTAAAAACATGCTAATCTGTGCAGTCTAGTTTGTAGTGAGTTTTGGCTAACTGTCAATGTTTACACGCCCACACCGGTCGCCGGTGTCTTAAATTAGTTCACTAGAAATGCGAAAGTTTAATTTGTCCTACTGATGGCCACGCCAACCGGATATTTTATAAGATTTATAAAATAGGAAGATCACACGCATGACGTAACATTTTGCGTATATATTATAGTCCTTAGATATATGTAATGCCTCTTGTTAATTATATCGTATTTTTATTGTACATCGAACCGTCTTATCGAATAGTTTTTACGCCGAATACAATTGCAAAGGTTAACAATTAACAATTTTCTCTTAATAGATTGTGTACGCCAACAAATATTAATTATCATCCATTATAATTCAACAACCACCAAATAAACGAGTGGATCGCGATATCAGAACGTCATTAAAGATATTTTAGGGAGGGAGCCGGGATGCCATCCTCCCCCCGAACCCCGCAAAGTTGCGATGGAATTAAATCAGATTTCCGCGTGAACGATTCGCAGCATCTTTGAACCCTTTCGCCGGAGCCCTACTCGTTTCAATGGATGATCAAACGGAGTACGGCCTATAGAAAGCTGAATAAGGATCGTTGCGTTTAAAGTTTTGAACTTTCTGTCCATTTAGAAGCCACACACAGTGAGTTTCTTTTAACTAACGAAAGAAAGTGTATTTCATTTTTAAATTTTCGGAGACGTATGCCCGATGATTGTTTTATCAGCTATTACTGGCATGTAGTGGTTCAAAAAGAATAAAACAGAGGATACGAAAAGTAAATAAAATAATCGTGCTGATATAATGTTACTATTTATAAATGAATCACCTGGTTTTAGAGATAATTTTATATGAAAGCAATAAATGCATTTACAGTGTAAAGTAAATGGGTTTAATATTAGCAACACCGAAATACACGTCGGTCATAAACAGTGGGGCATCGATGAAACGTATAAATAACTGTGCGTAATGTATTTTCCATTTGCTTTAGTTAACACTATAATAAATTTGATGGGCGCACCGGTTCTGCATCAGAGATAAACTCCACTATTCTCAGAAATCAAACTATTGAAGATAAATAACAAATATACCGACCGTCTACGTCTCGCTTGCCCGCGATTCGAACTTAGGACAACAGGAGAGTTGTCCTGAGTTCGAATCGTGAGCAAGAGTGATCCAAATACAGAGAAACGTAGTTACAATAACAATATTACTTGCACGTACATAAACATTATTCTATGTGTGAGTAACCCCCCCCCCGATTCCCCCCTCGTGGGGCATGGGGCGAACACATTTCTTTTTCCGGTTCTGATCCGTTCTTTAACAGGCAAATAGACTTCTGTGCCTCGCCTGACCGTAAAAATTTTTTTGTTTCCCTGGGATTCGAACCCAGGACCTCTCGCGCTTAACGCAATGCCAGGCAACAGGTTTAACCATTTGGCTACAGAGGCGGTCGCTTTATTCTTCTATAGTTAACTGCTTATGTTTGGGTGTGTGTGTATGAAAACAAAAGTCTACAAACCTACATTAAGCAGTTCTGAAAAAGGGGAAATACTAAATTTACAAGCAAATTGATTAATTTATACATTCATAAACATATCTAATTATACCAATAGACACATAAAACTTAATCACATAATTTGGCTTAAAGCGACTTGAGCTAAAACTTGTTCTAAAACTTAATCCGGAATGTTTAATATTCATAAGTAGTTAATTAATTCGCAAGCTGGTACCTGAGACGTTTAAAAACAAATTCAACTAAACAAAACTATGATACCTATCCAAACATAATAATACTATAACCTGATTTTATGTGTAATCAAAGTAGACAAGAATCTTACAGAATAACATTAAGAGAAAACGAGCAAAGTTGTGCGTATTTGCAGCGTCTGCGCAGAGCTTTAAAGTCCAGCACTTTGATATTTTAGTGCAAAGTTATTGCATGTTATTATAACATAATTTCTGATTCCGATCGAGAAATATTTCACGATTAGCCTAGAGCAAGTTCGGCGAAATGATTTTAAAGGTGAATTAAGCGAGGGAATATTTATATTACCATGTTTTAATTCCGTTTATTCATTATTTTTAAAGAGATTAGTAATATGGAAAGAATTATGTCTAGATTGTTTCGTTTTCACACGATTTAATATATATAACACTTTTGGAAAATGAGATATTTACAATAAACTGCTAATCGCCGCCATTTTTTTTCCAATATGGCGCTAACTATCGTGGCTATTTAGTATGGTCAAAGCCACTGTTTGACGTATGCAATATATAAAAAAATCTTTTACTACTATATAGTATTACTTACATGGCGCAGGGCTAGCTGGTTCGGCGCAGATTCCGATGGACTTGCTGGGGTCGTCGAGGAGCGTCTGCGCGAGGTGGTAGTCTCCTAATTTGATCTGGATCTGTTGGCTCACGCGGTCGCGGTTTCCCGTCACCTGAAAACATATGAGATAGTTATTTTATATTATGGACTGGGAGCAGCAACGGCAAAGTTTTTTTTATTATTTTCTATTTATTTGATTTTACTAACATATTTAATAAACACCGCAGGATTTGTTTTATAAATCCAAAAACTTTTGAACTAGCTTATAAAAGACGGTCTTATCGCTAAACTGAGAACTCTTCCGAGCAACCTGAAGTGAAAAGCAAAACGAAAAAAGGACTATTGGTAGGTAGTAGTAGACTAAGGGTAATAATAAAAAATATTTGAAAACTGAGGTTTTAAAAGAACGGAGAGATTGGGCTTTTCCGATATCAGTGGCGAGAGAGTTCCAGAGATTAATAGCTTTGATGGTTAAAGAGTTGTTGAAAAGGGAAGTTTGAAAATAAAAAACATTTTAAAATATGTTTAAATTCTAGTAGAGTATTGTATTATACAAATATAATAGATGACATAACAACTTCAAATTGAATATTAATAATAATCTTGATGGCTCCTCTTGTCAATAATATAAGCAATTTATATATAAACTAAACGTTTATTCAATCATATGGCAATATCTGAGTCAATCCAGATGTAAGCGCCAGAAGGTCGGGAAATGATTTGCCGTTACGTTCGGCCATTAAGGCTATAGCAAACAGGTCAACAAATAATTTACTTCCATCTCAGTCTATCTAATCTATAGTCATATTATAAATCTGAAAAGTTTAAATGCGCTTATCTGATGAACTACTTCTTTTTGATAAAAAAATATTTCATTCATATCATCTATCGAGGAAAGCTTTAGGCTATAAAACATCGACCAATAGGAGCGAAGAAACAGTGGAAAATGTGGGAAGAATCCATCTTGGAGGTTTTCCGTTGCGCGTGCTGCGTAAATCATGTTCATAGTAGTTCAGGTTCATAAATCCAAGAAAGTCTGAAAGTGTGATTTTTCTTAAATATTATCTAAAAATGTTTTTATTCGTATATGTTGATCTTTTAAGATTAACTCGCAAGAACCGTTTTTGGTAAGGAATATTGGTCGCGTTTATCTAGATTCTAGATACCTACTTTTATCTTACAAACAACTAAACAACGTTTTTCCAATCAAATCCAAAGAATAATTGTCAAATGTTTAAATTAGATTCGAGAGATTATGTACGATTGATTAAGTGAACACGGGCAAAATTTTTTTTATCTGCCTCATAACAACGTACCAACGGAGATATTTGTAATTTATTGAAGACTAATAAAGGTGGTAAAAATATAAGATATATCACTAAAGATTTCGTGATCAATTGCCTGGCGACAAACGTGTAACTTGCGTTCAGCTTATAGTATTATGACTCACACTGTTTCATTGGCCTTAAGTATCTTCGTTCCATTACAATTTGACATCATTACCGAGTGCAGTACTGATTTTTATCACGTTCAACTGTTCTCATAGTTGGCGGTAACCTAATTTTCCATTAAGTGGTGACTCATATCGTTAAGCAAGTGCCAGACTTGTAATAACTAGAATTAACGAAATCAAAATTTAAGGTTAAGTACAAGACTACAAATATTGAGTAAAAACGGAATATGCTTATTCCGTTTTTTTGTACTATGGCAAAATTTACACAAAGATATATTAGATTAATGTAATAGATTATATGTATATATAATTTTTCTGAAACAAGTTGGACTTCGAATTTGAATGTCGAAATTCCGTCCGGGTCGCGAACCACCGTCCACAGATGAAAAAGGCGTGAAGTTTAATTATGTTTCGGTTTCAATTCCGAATATCAAAAATAGGCCGCCGGCGCATCTTGTTCATATGCTATAGGCTGCAGTATTTCATCTACCATCAAGTGAACCCTGCTTGTGTCCTACTCTATCATTAAAAAAAGAGCTTCAATGACTTGATGGAAGGCTTCAAACTCTGCATCTGCAGTTATGTTTCGGTCCATTTTCCATACATTCAATGACATTCAGTCCGTCAAGAGTAAAGCAAATTGTTACATATTTGAGGAAGGAAGATTTGGCTTTCATTGTCAAAATTTGACATAAAGAATACGATTCACTATATCCCCTAACATTTTACGCATTATAAATAGCACTAGTGACATTGAGCGTACAAAATTAAAATAATTACTGGGTCAATGCTATAAACGCACATCTGAATCATATACACGACTGTATATAGTATCCTATAATTATGTAAAACATATTTTATGCATTCAATATAAAGCAATATTCTGCGAATGCTACCTAGGTGTGACGTCACATTGTACAATATAACGTCATAAGTATACTCGGTTGTTTGCGGGAGAATTTTAAATATGAGCGAATATACATTTGACATATTTACAATAGTCATTTTCTGTCTGTAATAAATGTTATAGTATTTATCGTGTTTATATAACAACGATGATATGATCCATAAGTAATAGTGGAGGATAATGAGTCCACGTAGTTTTTTACTTAGTACTTGACATGTTAAGACGTTAAATGACATTGATCGTAGAAACGGATGTATAGATTGTCTATCCGGTAACTCGGTGAGGCTTTTAATTTCCTCTTTGCAAAATTGTTTCTGCCTACTTGCAATTCAAATGTGTACAGTATTTGGATGTAATACGTAGTTAAAACATAATCCCCCCTTCTCGGGCGAGTAACAAGGCCGACACTGCATAACTTTACTAGGAGCTTAAAAGGATATGACCTACAGGAAGCGCATAGAGAAACAGTTTCATAACACTAACAAAGGAAGCTCGCTCCGCTAAGCCAAGGTTAACTGGCATAAAATGGCGCTTACGCGTATAAAACCAAGCCCATAATGCACTTCTGTGCCCATATACTCGTGACGCCCCACGAAGTATCCAATATAGAAATTAATATCGGATGATATTGTTTTTATAACTCCTCGCATCCATCTAATCCTTATTGACCCACATTCTGATAGACGGCCGAGTCGCAAACAAGGACGGGCTTCGATCAAGGCTAAGCGTGTTTACGTTGAGTTTGAGCACCTGCTTGGGCGTTATTTGGCGGATTTTATTTGGTACTCTCATTTAAATATGGAATTGTAATAACCGGTTTTAAAACAGAGATTAAATAAAAAAAAACGTTTAAAACTGTGACAATTGATAAAGTAGTCTAATAATTTGAAATTATATCTTTAAGAAATAATTTGACCTGAATAGAGAAATTACCCATTACTGTCCTTGATATTGTTATTTACTAAGTTACACGACTGGCCTATCTAAGAAGTCGGTCGAGATGTGAAGTTGCCTTTATTGATTCATGTCATACTTAAAAAATAAAAGATAATAATAGGTAAGAAAATATATACTTTTTAAATTGCTAGTTAGTTTACTCTAAAGGAAGACGCTTCTATAAAAATAAATATTTTATCGAGTACAATACGAAATAACTGAAATAAACTGTGGTCCAACTTTTGGAATGATTTAACGTCTTCTAAACAATCTATTTCGTAAGTTGAAACTTTTTGAATCCGATCGAAACGTGACGCTCTATACAACCTCAAAGTTACAGTTTCTCTTGAATTGACGAGAACGTCATTTGTTGAGCACACAATTGGTTTGAGCTGAATGATCGTCGGTTCGTAGAAAACTCGGATAAAGTTCGAGGAGCGTCGCAATAAATTTGTCAATAGGTGAAGTAAATTCGACCACATAGAAGTTTCCGTAGACACGGTATTTTAACAACTACCTTTACTTCAATGTAAATGTCAATATAATATTCGTGTTTTTTTTTTATGGAAGATAATAGATAAGCATAGCACTTACTGGAAGGTGAAATACTCCAGCCTATAGCATATTAACAAGATGCCCTGGCGGCCTATTTTTGATATTCGGAATTGAAAGCGAAACATAATTAAACTTCACGCCTTTTTCATCTGTGGACGGTGGTTCGCGACCCGGACGGAATTTCGACATTCCTATCGCCAATTTAACATCCAGATTTCCAGATAAAGTCCAACATTATCAGAAATATACATTGATTAGAAATATGTTAGACCCGATGGGGATAGAACCCACGATCCTCCGATTATTAGGCAAACTTTGATCTTTCAACGAGTATCGAAAGTACTGTTTTACTTAAGTTAACCCCTTATTTGTCTAACATATAAAATTGTATATCTAAACTTTAAAGCGGCCAACGCACAACAATGTCAGATTTGTAATAAAACAAAACTATCGTGTCTGCGGCGATCAAGTCCACATGTTTATGGAATGAGCGGTGCACAGTGGTGATAAATGGCTAACGCGGTGTCAACGGCCGGGAGACGGGAATGGGACAACGCGCTCCAGAGCCACGCTACAAACAAACGCACATCCAAATGCGACGCTAAATGGAACTCGCTGTGCCTCAATTATAACGCATTATCCAGGAATTCGTGGACATTAACAGTGCGTTGTTCACTTGTTTTTGTTCTACAAAATGTCTAGTGTCTTGCTTAATGGGTTCCTAGGTATCAGAGACATTTGTTGGATACGCAACTAATGAGCCTTCGTCAATCTCTTCTGCCACATTACTTCAATGACGTTGGACAACCTTCTGTCCGAATCTTTAGTCGATTGATGCTGATCAGCTTAATTGCGTACTCACTCAAAACGATCTTGTTTTTCCTTACATAGGCTTTTTCTTACAAAACTAAACCTTTCCATCTAGGAAAACACCTAGTATTTAAAGTATTTCTACAAAACCTGTGATTCATGTGAAAATTTGCTAACATTATAAATCCTCAAACAAGCTTCACTAAGCCTACAATTCGCTTGTATCAAACGCTGCGCTAAATTCGACAATCTTAAGTTTAATGATAGTCGAGCCTCGAAGCATGTAAATACAACACGTTACCGCGTCTTGAGTGGAGTTTTATGTTTATTCTGGGCTTATACAGGCAATTCTCGTTTATATCGCCTTATCCTTACTGTATCATTCCGTTTCGACAGTCATTTTAGAGAACACCGAAAACTAGCATGGGGCGGCATTCACTTGATGCAAGGTGATATACCCTTAGCCGTATAACATTTCAATAAGACGCGCTGACAACTTATTTTTTGTCATTGTATTTGTCTCCGTCTCGTTAAACTATTAATTAAATATGCAAAATACTGTCTATAGTTTACGCGAGTAGTACACATTTAAATAAAACACTTTCACTGGTTTAAAACGCGATATATTAGTTAAACTAATTTGAAACTGATTTTTAACTTCGGCCCGACGTTTCGGATGCTTTGCAGCAGCCGTGGTCAATATATATCGCGTTTGAAACCGTTAAAGTGTTTTTATTTAAATATGCTCAAGTCGGGGGTACAGCTGATAATATAAATTTGCATATATGATATGAAATTACCCGTATCAAGGCTTAAATAAATTTGACAATACAGTCTAAAGCTATTAGATCTATACTTTTATGAGGAGTATACAAGTTAAATCAAAATGCCCACGCGCTACGTATAAATAAATTAGTCTTTGTCATACACTCGTTGTGATTCATGGGTTTCCGAGAAATATATGGTGCATGGCGAAAGTCAATTCATCGTGTCTCTATATAAGCTCCATTGTTATACATGCCCGAGCTTTTCACAGAAGTCCGAAAGAAACCATATTTAGTAAAAAATAAACGGAATTGAAAGGGTGTCTCCGTTGCACCCCATCATTTGAACGTTTTGTTTTGTCCCGTTTGTAATTAGGGGCAAACAATATGACAATAAATTATTTCATATAGGCATAATGTACACGATATGCAGCTTAAAAAGAAGAGATTGAGTTGACTGACCCATAAACTGAAATAGAGATGTAATGGGAGAAGTTGAAATATTGAAAACAAAATATTAAGGAATGAATAATACACGCCAGAGCGCAATGAATAAACAAAAAAAAAATATGAGAAGATGTATGGAAATAAGACAAGAGCGATGATAGGTGTTCGTGAAATATGATTATCGAGGAATATTTTCGTTATATCGCGTCAGGAGTGAGGGGGTGCCGGTGGAGATGGGGGGAGGAGGGCTTGTAATGAGGCCGTCTAGACGCTATGCTACAATACAATAGTACACTCTTTGCATTTCAAGTCTGGTTTAGCCGTTGCTCTTGAAGACATTTAATACGCTCTCGAATCGCAAGGGAGGAGTGATTTGATTGGACGCTTTTTTACAGAAAAATATTCCGCGACAACAATGCATTATCTATGACATAATAAAATAAAATATACTTTATTTTCTTTAAAATCTTAAAAATTATTTAGATTCGTCAATTTTTTTGTCTGTCTGTATGCCGTGATTCTACAGAGTGTTTAAAAGAGCAACCTAACTGAGAAGAACACCCAAGAAACTCAGTCCGGCTTTTTTTAGCATGTCTTATAAACATTTTGAATTTATTAGCCCTACGAGCAGTTCATATTACTTGCCAGACGGTCTTGTCATATGTGTTATAATACATACGAATACAATTCCCCGCAAATGAATTAGATATTTTATGGAGCCTATATTTGGGGATAGCTAGGTTATCCGTAAACACTAAGAACAGTAAGTACATCTAACGAGTAATTTAGAGAAATTAAATGAGAACATGGATATAGATTGTAAGATGCCTTTCCAATAAGTCCAACTTAAGGACAACCGGAAATTAAATCGCGATAATTAAATAAAAATCGTTAGATCGCAGATCTGATACAAATATCAGCAAGAGCAAATATTTAAAAGGTTATTTAGAGAAGATGAATTTGATCTGGAGATAAAAATGTGGGAAGCCCAGATAAAAGGTAGCGGCGAGGCGAAATTCGTGATTCAATTCAAATCGACTTAAAACGTCTCCCCTTCATGAAATGAAAGCAATCTACAGATTGAGATAAGGCTTTGTTTTAACTAATTCACCTAATGATCTACAAATTATACGACTGCCAAGAGCTTTTGAAGCGAAATCATTAGAGTATTATTGATGCGCTTACAAGATTTAACGGAGATCTTCTATTTAATCAACCTGCCGTAATATTAGTAATGTTAAAACAACATAACGAAAATGACGGCCTACATTTATGGAAAAGAAAAATGTACACCTGATTCCATATAAAAATATATTTATACATTATCTAATAGTAATAATATGTCTAATTTTATTATAATTTCAGTATGTACCTTGTTTAAAGATAGCATACGATCATAAAACCGATAGACGTCACAATACGCGTCATAGTGTGCTATTTGTCATTTAAAACTCATAGAGCACACTAGAAATCTAAAAACCCCGACGTAATTCAAGGTTACATCTTACATATCTGTTAAGTGAAGCAATTGCGTTGTCTATTTGCAATAAATTCACAATGCGAGGAAAACAAACATCCTCAAACTTTTCCTTCTTTTTCTCAGTCTTACGCACTTAATAAAAACGACTTTTTAAAACAATTAGGATATTTTTTTTTAACAATTTACTATGATGATGTTGCAACTATTGGATCAAGTAAACAGTACATGAAATCAACCTTGACAAGGTGTTTCAATATAAAAAAAAATTTTATTTGACAGGTGTTAAAAACCTGTATCGCAAAATAAACAAAAAGTGAAACATAAAAACGATTGTAGGTTGACATAGGTAGTGCCGATCCCGTTTTGCGGGAAATGTTTTATCGGGTTTAAAGAGATATCTATACCTCTAGCGTTTTGTATCTTTGAACAACGATTAATTGTCTTTCGCTCTCCTTGATTAAGTAATTAGTGGTTGTTGATAGGTAAGAAAATAAATTTGCTATTTTTTACTATATTTAAACGAACTTGAAATGATAAATGCCACAAACAAAAACTGATTAAAGCGTTATCATTAAATAAGTTAATGATACACAACATTCTTTCCTTATCAATTTTAAATATTACTTTACGAAAATGCCAAGCATTTTTACTTAATTTCTGCGAACATTATCATAACTCGGGAAGCCGAATTTAATTGCGAGAATCATCTTATCCGATACACCCGGCTTGCCGGAGTGTGAAGAGCGATGCCGCTTTAATTAAAGTCGTATGTGTTGGTAGAAATACTTGGTGTTGTGCAGTGTGCATAATAAATAGGTCAGAGCCAACCGCGAATATAAATCGACGGCTTTTAATTTATTTATCACAATCGTTCGAACGAAAATTTGTTAATAAACAATTGAAGAAACTTTACAAACACTTCGCACACGTACACACTAGAATTCGAAAGATTATAAAATTATTCTCGTTTATTAATAAAACAAACCTTATTCGGTAAGTGTGATATTAAAAAAAAAATATATTGCCAACAATTAAAGAATGTCATTGAAACGTCTACGATTCCGGCCCGGCTAAGATTGTATTAACAAACAAAATGTAAAACATAATAGTTTCAGTATAAGTATTCTAATTTATATTAATTTCACCCAAAACAAAAGCAGAACTAAACGCGCAATATAAGAACTACGACAACACGCCTAGCATTACAGCGAAACAGCCTCGTTATCTTCGAAGTAAATATTAGACGAGCAAATCATTTGGCAACAATTTCCTTCGCGACCCGACGGAACGTAAGCGTAATTACCGAACGCGTCAACAAGGGTGACCTCGAACCGGCCTGACATTGCTCAACCGTTTGGTTTTGCTCTACGTTCTTCAGAGACGTGGGTTATAACTGACGCATCTTTATCGCATATCGGGTTAACAAACGCGGTGTTATTAGGTCTTATGATGGCGGATCTCAATTATTCTCAGCACGTGCGACGCACTATGAAGTGGACGGGTCGAGAACGACGCATCACGCGACACTGCGCTTCTGGGAATCTCTTACCTGCTCAGCCACCAGAGAGAGCGCTTTGAATTATTTGTCCGCTATGGTTGGACCATCAATACATACAACCGTTAGTTTCGTACAAATATTATTAAGACAATTTAACAGATTTTTTTATATATCATATTATTTTCCCATTTCATTGTGTTCTGTAAGACCCACAATACGGAGATAGCAAAGATGACGAGCGCGATAATAGCCAATTTCCGTTACGGCTGACTACAGGAAAAATAATTCAAGCGTCCGAAAAATTAATATGAAACTATTTAACTGTTTAGCGGATTTATCTCAATGTGAGAAATCAGTAACGAAGAATGAATATTGGTATTAAAAATTAATAGCGAAACGATTAATTATCGTGTATTTGCATATTCATCAGACAATAAAAACGAATCGAACGAATGTTAAGTAGAAGCTGGATTATTTAAAACGATAGCGATTTTATAACAATTCGTATACGAAACACAGATGTCGAAAAGTGCAACGCAGCGTCGCCATACAACCCGTTTCCGAGGCAAAATATTCCTTCTGTTGCCAAATATATTTCAATTTCGCACTAAGCGAAATTCAAACCGTAACTTTAAATAATGCTATATTTTTCAAGTGTACGCTAATAAGGAATTACATCACAAGCTCGTTTTATAAACATTTATTACTGCTTAATGCGATGCCTTTTTTAATTATTGACCAACAAACGAACGAGCAAATCGTTTCACAGAACAAACACAGTGTCCTTACTGTAACTAAGTTTTACACAATAACTAGACTTTTAAGAGGCATTCATCTCATCATTCTTAAACATTTGCAAATCTTGAATTGATTTTAAATAAAAAATAAATTTGTGAAAGTATCGATATGTTATGTTTTACATTGTTCACTAATTCTTGAACCTATAATAAACTAATTCTGAACATCAATTTTTAGGCAGTTCATCGTATCACGTGTGTAATAAATAGATAAATGACTCACTCTGAAGGGCGCGGGGAAGAGCGAAGAGTTGTCGGATGGTTCAGCGGCGTGCGCGTGCGACATTTGATTCGCGCGCGCCTTCCGCTCCCGCTCCCTGTCGCGCTCGCGGTCTCGCGTATCGCGGGCGTCACGTGCGTCGCGGGCGTCGCGGCTCTCGCGGGGTTCGCGCTCGCGGCCAGACCACGCCGCGCCCGCCGCGCCGCCCGCTCCGCCAGCGCCCCCGCCCCGATCCCACTTGTCGTATCTGAAACAAGGCGATAGACAGATTATTAATAGCCTATTTGTAATTCAGCATAAATATTTTGTTTATGAAGTGTCTACATCTGAAAGCCCACTAAGCGTTTTCGATACGAAACAAAAGGAAAGTTTTTTTTAATATAAATTAATACTCTAATAATAATCGATAAATACTTGAGTTAAAATTAAACCTTATTATTAAGAAGAATTAACTAAGTAATTTAAAACTCGAAAATAAATTGAAAAAAATTACTACTCGGGCAGGACTTGAACCGGCGTTTCGTGCTGTTGTTTTTAAATTACATAGTGCCTTCGTGTGCAATAACATGTAAAAAATATTAATGTTTTCAAAGAATTAACTAATTTAATTTATGTATGGTTAGAAGATATTTGAAGTTACTTTTTTTTAACCTTTAATATTTTTCACATGATGGCACTTTATAAATTAAAGGTGTAGTAAATTCTTTTCTATTTATAATCGATTTTTAAGTCATTATAACATTATTTCTCTTTTTCTTTTATATGCGAGTAGAAATAGTAAATTACAGTTGATTTTATATATTTAAAATCAAATCAATATAAATAAAGATAATAATAAAATATAAATAAACTACTTGACCAAAGCACATCTATCTAAGTTCTATGGTCTACGATTGGATGTTGTTTTTTATTTATGGCCACGTAGGTATTGCATTGAATTATCGTTAAATAAATCCGATTTCCCCGATATCGTGCTGACATTTACTCGTGTTATAAATCTTTCTCGCATTGCTATTTGATGCGAGGATATATGGACCGACGGATATTGCATTTTCAAATAGATAATTGTATGTCGCGTATTATTAGAATATGCTTTGAGGAAATGTTATATAGGGGGCAAAAGTTCAACAAATGGTAATCTAAATGAACGCGAGACAAGGAAAACCTGAATTAAAAAATAAACTCTACTGACCTCAGTTTTAAATGTAGCTTATTTCTTAAGGCCTTATTACCTACTGACTATCCGTGCTAGTAAACAAAAAGTTGGTACAGTAATGCATATACTTTAGTAATTATCATTTTTACGTTAGAAATATTTAATATTTTTCACATGTTATTGCACGTGATGGCATTATATAAATTAAAAATCGATTTTATATTTATAACTTTTTAGGACACGCACAGTGTTTCGTGCTGTTGCTCTAACTTAGAGACCTACTGTGTCCTACACGTCATCGTCAACTTTTTAAATCTATTGATAGCTGCACTTCTCGCGACAATTTAAAAAAATATAATATTTATTTTTAATTTAGCATTTTTACATTATTTGACAAAGATAGGATGGATGTGCATGTCTACGTGATATTATAACGCAAAGCAGAATATTAAAATGGTTAGTTAGTTCGTATTTTATAATGCCCAAATTCGCTAGCCTCATCGCCGTATTTAAACTAGGTATTAGATTAAATTAGCGGATATTACTCAACAGTGTCGGTTCGTTTCAGACTCGTCACACTATTTGTGTTTCTTATCTCCGAGCGAGACGCATCGGTTCAATGCTACGCTTGTTTGTATTGGGCAATATTTTGTATGCGGAGCCACTTCCTTCAAGAGTGGGTGGTCTACTTAACGTGCGTGAACCCTTTAATTAGAAAACCTCGAACTACGAGCCTCACGACTACGGTCGGACTTTTGTACAGGATCTATACTGTATAGAATTTGACACATCGAAAGCATTTGTGAACGCGACTATACCTAGGAAGGCAACTGAAGCAGTATGACTTAAAACGTGATAGACTAAAGCGGCCGCAACCAAAGATGTTTATAAACAGATGTAATTATAAAAAAAAAACACTTTAAACGGTTTAAATCGCGAAATGTATTAGTTAACGTATTTTGAAACTTTTATTATTCGCGGTTATGGTAATAAACACGGCCGTTTCAAAGCATCCGAAATGCCGTATTTAAATTAATTGTAAATAAGTTAACAAATTTTGCTGCATCCATTTGCGCTAAACCATGTATAGCGTACTCGCATAAACTTTACTTTATTGCTGACTTGTAATTTTATTTATATACGGAATATATAAGGAAATGCTGTTTTAAAACTAGAAATTAGGCTTTATTTGTAAATTAAACTTAAAAATTACGACACGGGCTGGACTTTAGCCGATTATATTACTATAATCGATTTTTAATTCATATAGTAGGTACAGTCATGATAAAAATATGAATGTTTTCAAACGTTATTTGTAAAACAGTATTTGCAAGCAAATTTGAAACAATCTCAACATAGTTCTGTCTGTCACTGCCTAAAGTAAAAAACTGTCGCAATAAGTTTCCTGCTACCCGAGCGCGCATAATAGACAGAAAGATAATCAGGCATTAGCGACTGTAAACGGACAAAAACCGCTTCGCCCGACTCTTCGTGACTCGCTCCGGTTCCCATTAAACGCGGGTTGTCGGCGCCATCACGCTACTCAACTTAATGGACTTTTACCAAACACCGAAACCGAATGACAATAAAAAACACAATAGGTTCACGTCAATTTATTGTGTAACGAACGCGACCACGACCACTATTATCAATTTATGTCATATTCAGCGTGTAGTGCACATTTAAATAAAAGCCTTTTTAACCGTTTCAAACGCGAAATATATCACTGAACATAGTTTTAACAATTTATTTACTACAATCCGACATTTAGGCGCTTTGCAAAAGCCGTGTTTACAGGGAGTTTTCGATGTGCTCTAAGTATGTAAAATAACGACGTAGTGTGTTACAATTATAGTATAACACTGAGAACGCGTTGAAAACCGCAAAATATACAAGTTAATTTTTTTTTACTTGATTGACCCGACGTATCTGATAGTTTGCTGCTAACAAAAAATACAAATTATTTAATATTACCATTACGGTAGTCAGAGATATTTTTTCAGAAGTATACCTCATAAATCAGTCATTAATATTCTAAACCAGTAACGCGTATGCATCATAAATAATGTCGAAATTTCAAACAAAACCGCAACGATGCCGATACTAAAACACGAGTACTATTTCCAGTTAACATATTTACGAATTGAAACATTCAAAAATAGAATTCGTGTTTTGTGCATAAACAATGAACATCAATAAATCTAGTAGTTTTGTGCATAAAAAAATATATATTTATTTACGACTAATAATAAAATATAAAGACAGTCAGTTAAATTTTTTTATTAGATTGACAGCTACGATTAACTAAAGGTAAGCTTTGTGCTACGTGTTTCTTAATTTCTTTTAAAACGAATAACAGACACACAAGTAATTATTTTAGATTATAAAATCGGTTTTTATAATACGTTAAACGGGCCAATTTAATTAATTAAAGCTTATTTGCTAATTGCCTAATAACAAAAAAACATGATTTTCAATAAAGAGGGTTCACAATTACAGGCCTATGTAACTTAAACTTTATATGTGTTAAAAACGATTATAAAATCGGTTTTTATAATACGTTAAACGGGCCAATTTAATTAAATAAAGCTTTAATTAAAGCTTATTTGCTAATTGCCTAATAACAAAAAAACATGATTTTCAATAAAGAGGGTTCACAATTACAGGCCTATGTAACTTAAACTTTATATGTGTTAAAAAAAACAATTACAGACAAACACAATATGCAAAAATGTCATAAGATTGCAGATCCGCTACTCTGCCTCCAGCAGGCTCATATTATGTTGACACTAACAATTTACTTATATAACGCAAAAACCCATTCGAAATTCAAACCCGCAGTCCTACACCTCGTTACGCGAAATAAATCTCGACTAGAACATTATTCAAATGTCCCAAATTGAGTTCGAGAATAAAGCGACGCAATAACACAGTGCTTAATTTCGCTAAAGCACATGTAGAAGCTTACCGGCTTACTCGGAGCCTCCCTTGAAACAATGTAGGCGAATTGTGCGATAGTACACCGCATCGATTACACTTGAGATCCGTGTAGCCGCAGCTTAAGGATATTGACTGAGCTATTTTGATATTAAGTCACAGACGTAGGTATGTGCATATAACCCGGTGTACATTGGAATAGTTTTGCTTCATGGATAGATAATATAATTGTTACACAGTACGTCTATCAGAGATGTTACGGAGCTATTTAGATAGTTTAAATTGAAGTTTCCTTGTGACCACCTTATTATATAATTTAGCGTTAAAAGTGCTTTATTAAAATATAAGCAATTGATCAGATTTCTCTGCCCGGCACGATCAAAATATTCTACAGTTTTCCCGGGATTCGATTACTTGGGCTTAACGCGATCCTGTTTTGTTTTCTTACCTAATTACTTTTTTTTTAATGATAGAGGAGAGACAAGCATAGGGCTCAATTGATGTTAGGTCAAATACCCCTGCCACATAACATTTAAACAAGATGCGATGTTGGCCTATTTTTGGCTTTAGATATTCGAATTTCGCTTTTTATATGTGGACGGTGATTCGTAACCCGGACAGAATTTCGATATTTCTACCACCCAATTAATATCTAGATTTGCAGACGAAATCCGACATGTGTCAGAAAAATTATAAATGAATTAGAAAAATATTGGACCCGGTAGGAATCAAACCCATGACTCATAGATTATTAGCTATCCATTGCTACCATTACACTGCTCTATAATATATATAACTTAATACAAACATTAACATTTAACTATCTTAACTTAAAATGGTATAACACGGTATACGTAGCTATATTAATAGAGACTGTTCATCATATTATAATTGTCTAGAAATTACATCTACAACGATTACGAAAATCGTTTGCCTTGACGAAAAGCCAGCGCAGCATTTTCGGAAGTCCCAATAACGCGAGAAGTCTTCGTAATTACAAGCTATCGATGACTCAAAACCGAAGCGCAGTAATTGCGATAATAAATCTCGCCAACGGACGGCGAAAGTGGTATAACGACTTGCTCCGTGTACACTGAACCATAATCATTGTTTACGTTCAGGGATTCGCGTAACTGTACCGGCTCCTCAACTTT